ATCTATCTATCTATCTATCTATCTATCTATCTATCTATCTATCTATCCATCTATCCATCTATCCATCTATCCATCTATCCATCTATCCATCCATCCATCCATCCATCCATCCATCCAATACAGTATATATATATAATATTGGTGAGTTATTTTGATGGAATGGCCGATGTCCGATATTTAACTTTATCGCTAATATCGTCCGATACCGATAATATCGTGCATCCCCACACAAGTCTGATATGATACTTTGACTTAGTATTTTACAAATTAAACACATAAAACATATGATTCATTGACAAATTGCTTAATAACGTTCAAATTTAGGAACAAGATTTGTTGTTAAGCCTTAAAGTGTATTTGTCTACGCTCGGTGAAAGACAAGTAAGTTGCCGCTTAAATTGTTTTTTGCTTAATTACCGTAAACATCTTTTTTGAAATCTAAAGAGCATGAATGTAGAAACCCAACTTTGACTAAAGCCAGATTATTTTACTCTCGATATTTGAAAAATAATAATAATAAAGGTTTTTGTCTGTATTTAAAACTAAACTTTTGGTTGAATCATGTAAACTCAAGAAACAAAACGTCTTTTTCATTCAACGTTTAATTTATACAACCTTTATATTCTTAGAAATCATGAGCTACCTGCCAGTTTCGTGTATGCACAGGTGCGTTGTACGCTAGAAGCCACAATAACAATGGAGTCATTTTCCTACGTGTTCTTTTGGTTGTCTCTTTTTATTTGGATCCGGTTGTCAAACTTTACTTTCACAAAACGCTTCAAGCCAGACTTGAACGCCTCTTGACCATCTCAATTAAATATTTGAACGGAGACGGTCAGCCAACTACAAATTTTCCTCTGAGCCGCTAAGTGAGATCGTAACAGTTGATTTGTGAAAAGATAATCCAGCTTTGTGGCTCGAAGAAGTGATGACATACAGTCCGTGCGATCACTTGACCGTGAGCTTTGAAAGCCTAAATGACAATAAACTGATTCATCACCAAGTGGAGTGTTGATGATGACGCACAGCAGCTTTGTAATTAGTGAAAATAATTGTGAAGAGGATTACTAAACTGACTTTGTTTGTCATGTTTTAGTGTGAAGAGCTCCATGCCTGTTTCGGCTCTGAAAGCTCACCTCAATGCAGGATGGGGTTTGTGAACGGTCAGAATCAGCTTAAAGACTGGCTGGTTTTTGCGGCTATTTCACAGAACTGATTTGTGGAAGTGCTTTTTAATCAAGTACTGAAATGTTATTAACTAACAGGAAATGGTAATAGTATAAATTAGTTTGGGCAGAGTCTTTAGCCAAGCTAAGAATGTTCTTTCCCTGTATTTTTATATGGTTAACTTTAGTGGTCAGTGTAGTTGTTTCAGCTTTTGTAGGAATATTGTGGATTAATATTCTCTTGGTAATTAAAAAAAAACCCACATCAGTTTGAAAAATAAATATCCAAATGGATATTTATGAACATGGCCTGAGATTTTTTTGGTCAATAAATCCATTTTTGGTCACAGCAGACTGCACTCCTGAGACTAAAGTATGTGTCTTCATGTTTACTGGCTGTTCCCAATGTTGGACTTTAGGTCTCTTGACAGTTTCAGTGCATAGTTTGTAGTAATATATCTCTATCTTGCTAAGTAGTGTTCATAAAGGACATATTTATACCTACATATGACGTAGATTGGACATCGCTACACATATTGAAAAGACTTGATGACAGGTCTCTAAAAGGAAAACAGGTCTCTCTTGTAAATGAGTCCTCGAGGCTCAATGAGACTAACCTGTATAAATAAAGGTTGCATGAGTAAAACTAGTATAATACACTGACATTTAGTGACTGCCTTATGAAAAGTACTATTATTGTTAACAAAGCCCATGCTCAATAATCCAGCTATACAATCAAACATCGGATTGTATTCCAGGATTATTGAGCATGGACTTTGTTGTTTTCAACCAGTTTGACAAGACTGTCAACAAGGAAGAGGGCCGGCAACGGAGGAGGGGGCGTACCAAAGAGACCATCTTATCACAAGCAGAACTGGTTTGTTCCACTTTGGAGTAAGAGAATCAGTTTTGTTGTGTGTTCCCTTGACTGATGAAGCCTTCTGGATCGAAGGTGAAACGTTTCAGCACAAAAAAAAAACTGTCCAGATGACCTGACTGAAAAATGTTGGATACTATTATTATTATTATTGTAATTTTTCTTTGAGAAACATGAAAATTTTATCTGCTGTGGTCTACGCCTTTTGTGAGGGCAACCATACAAGAACATAGTTCATTGGGATCCGTTCCTGGTCTGTAAGGACCACTATCCTGCATGTTTTCACTGTTTTGCTCCAGTACACTAAATTAGTATCAATGGATGATAATAGGCTTCTGCAGAAGAAGAAGATGTAATTCAACCATTGAATCGTGTTGGAGCAGGGAAACGAGTAAAACATGCAGGTTAGTGGCCCTCAAGGACCTACACTGGACGCCTATGACATAGTTTTTGGTCCTTGTATAGGGCCAACAGAGCAAAGAGGGTGTGTAGATTATGTTGCGTGTTGACAGCACACACTTCGAGTAAGGTAAAGAAGTGCAGGGAATTTTTTTAATGCTTACCAGATGGCACGCTCACAGGAAGGTTTTAGGGGAAACTGGCCCCTAATGAATGAGGAGACGACTCACCTGAGGGAACAAGAGACATCAAAAGAAGCCTTTCTCTCTTTTTTCGTTTTATTTT